ATTGCCTGTTGAGTCTGTGGAGTCTGGCATGTGACACACTGCAGACCTGAGACGACAAGGCTTGTTGCTATGGGTGACTTTTAGTGACCTATAAATTTTTCACACTGTGCCATAGCACTCTATTATTGCTTTCTTCCTCTGAGTCACTAATTAGATCCTGATGATTTCCCTGTGAAACCTTGAGGACCAGGAGATGCAAAATGGTCTTGCTATGTAGATTCATGAATACTGGACTGTTTTAGGATATCCGAGTGTGCTTTGCATACTTGGCTTAATTTTTTTTTTTTAAACTAAAAGTAGTTGTAGGTGAAATGATTACTTATGTAATTGTTTTGGTAAATGACTTGAAGTTGAACTACAGCAGTTTTGTATTGGAAAAAAACAAAATGAAAAAAATATTGTTCGAATTTAAGTTTATTTGGTTTACTGACACAGTTTTGGTTAGGGGTTGTTGAATCTAGTGCGAATTGCTTTAAGTACCCTCCCAAAAAGGAAAGATATGTAGTCAAGAAAAGGATAATTATATTGTAAAAATAAACATTTAATGAGGTTTAATTTTTCAAAATTGTAATTTTTATTAAAAAGTAATTTAATAATTTAAAAAAATATTCAAGCAGTTTACTAGAGGGTTTATAATAAAAAGTGTCTCATCCAGTCCAGTTGCACAATCTTGTTCTGGTATCTTGAATATTCTTTAAAAGATAGTCTATGCAAATATAAGTATGTATGTACATTTAAAAAATTACTTATACAGGCAGTACCCAATTATAGATATTTTTGTTGCCTTTTTCCACTTAAATGTACCTAGGAAAGTAGTTCTTACCAGCACATATGTCTCCACATGGTTGTCTAGATCTAAGCTGTGGATGCTGGAGATGGCTTGGACTGGTTTATGAGAGCCGATTGTTGTTTTGGTGGGATTTGAGTGAAATGGTTATTAAACATGGCCATTATTGAAATTGACCATGATGGGAGTATTTACACTGTAGAAATTGGAAAACACTGCAAATAGCCTTTTTCTTTTCCAAGCTGGTAGTTACACATTTGCCAGCACACCACTAGATGTATAATTTACTAGAGGTGTCTAAATACCAGCAATTTGCTTTGTGGTGTTTCAAAACAAAACAAAATAAAACATTCTCCCCTCCCCTACTCTCCTCCTTTTTTCCTTTTTCTCTTTCTTCTTTTTTTTTTTTTTTTTTTTTTTTTGAGACAGAGTTTCGCTCTTGTTACCCAGACTGGAGTGCAATGGCGCGATCTCGGCTCACCGCAACCTCCGCCTCCTGGGTTCAGGCAATTCTCCTGCCTCAGCCTCCTGAGTAGCTGGGATTATAGGCACGCACCACCATGCCCAGCTAATTTTTTGTATTTTTAGTAGAGACGGGGTTTCACCATGTTGACCAGGTTGGTCTCGATCACTCGACCTCGTGATCCACCCGCCTCGGCCTCCTAAAGTGCTGGGATTACAGGCTTGAGCCACCGCGCCCGGCCTCTCTTTCTTCTTATTTTTCTTTTTCTTCTTTTCTGACAGGGACTTGCTCTGTTGCTCGTACTAGAGAGCAGTGTGGTACCATCACAGCTCACTGCAGCCTTGACCTCCTGGGCCCAAGCAATCCTCCCACCTCAGCCTCTTGAGTAACTGGTACTACAGGTGGATGCCACCACAGCCAGCTAATTTTTGTATTTTTTTTTTTTTTTTTTTTTTTTTTTTTTTTTGTAGAGAGGGTGTCTGGCATTGCCCAGGCCTTCATGACCTCATCTAATCCTATTCACCTCCCAAAGACCCCACTTCCTAATACCATCACAATGGGGGGTGGAGGCCTTAACATATATATATTTGGGAGGAACACAAACACACAGTCTGTAACACAACTTTAAGAGGGAAATGTAGTCCCAGCACTTTGGGAGGCCGAGGTGGGGAGATCACTTGAGGTGAGGAGTTTGAGGCCAGCCTGGCTAACACAGCAAAACCCTGTCTCTACTAAAATCATGAAAATTACCCAGGCATGGTGGCACACATCATCTGTAATCGCAGCTACTCAGTAGGCTGAGGCAGGAATATTGATTAAACCCAGGAGGTGGAGGTTGCAGTGAGCTAAAAACAAAACAAAACAAAAACCATCTCAAGTCAAACAACAGCAACTTCAAGTAAAAATAAAATAGCATCAGCATCATATTTAAAGTAGAAATATTTTCATTAAAGTTGGAAATAAGGCCAGGTGCAGTGGCTCACACCTATAATCCCAACACTTTGGGAGGCCAAGGCAGGCCAATTACTTGATTCCAGGAGTTCAAGACCAGCCTGGCCAACATGATGAAACCCTGTCTCTACTAAAAATACAAAAATTAGCCAGGCATGGTGGCAGGTGCCTGTAATCCCAGCTACTCAGGAGGCTGAGGCAGGAGAATTGCTTGAACCCTGGAGGCAGAGGTTGCAGTGAGCTGAGATCACACCATCGTACTCCAACCTGGGTGCCAAGAGTGAAACTCCATCTCAAGGAAAAAAAAAAGTTACAGCTTAATCATTTTCATTGAAAATGTTTCTGGGCATAGATAGGAGTATAATTACGACTATTAGGGATTTGTTGAATGGTCTTTATGGAAAGGGTTGAGGCTTCATGGTGAGGGACTGAAGTATGCCACAGATCTTAGTTTAAATGCTGTAGAAGCATTTTTCTATAGAAACGTTGTTAAGTTGCATTTATAGAAAGGCATTTGAGGGCCTACAGTGTACCAAGTAGAAACACCAAGATAAATGAGAATTGTGCTTTGCTCTTAAAACACAGAATAGTACAGAATATAGATATAAACAGATAATGGCAGGAGATTGTGCTAAGAAATAATGGCAAAGTACTGAAGAATTAGAGACAAAAAGATCTGTTAGCCCCTGGGTGAGTTAGGGAAGGTTTCATGTTGGCGTGAGCTGTGTTTGTGGTCTGAAGCATTTTACCAGGCTGAGGGGAACAGCATGTGCAAAAGCATGAAGGTGTGAATAAGGTTCGCGTGGGGCGGAGCAAGTTCAGTATGACCCAAGGATAGTTTGCAAAGAGGCCTTTGATTTGTATAGTGTAGCACTCAGTAAATATTGTTGGCACCTGAAATCAATGGCTGTACATTCCAAACCATTCTGAAAACTGTTTCCTTTCGGTGTGGGTTTGGTTTAGTTCAGGCGTCCCCAAACTTTTTACACAGGGGGCCAGTTCACTGTCCCTCAGACCGTTGGAGGGCCGCCACATACTGTACTCCTCTCACTGACCACCAATGAAAGAGGTGCCCCTTCCTGTAGTGCGGCGGGGAGCCAGATAAATGGCCTCAGGGGGCCGCATGCGGCCCGCAGGCCATGGTTTGGGGACGCCTCGTTTAGTTGTTAATTTTCAAATATATTTTTGAACACTGTGATCTCTGAAACTGCTAGATCTCTAGATTTGTAATTGGGAAAGAAACTTGCTTGTAGCTTTAACAAAATAAGAAACTCTTCCCAAATAAAACTTGTTTTGAAGTTTGAAAATAAATACTGGTGGCAAGATAGATGAATAAATGCATGAATACTGTGTATACACCAGATATTCTTATATATGACCTAGAGGAATATAACTCTTTGGGAAAGTATATGCCATATTTGAGCTTCAAAATCTGTCTTTGAAACACAGTTTTTACTTATAGTGGGAAAGGCATATTGTGAGAAAATACTAGTTTATCTTAGGGATTTTGTCTCCTGATTAGTTAACGGCAAACAGTGAATTTTCAGCCCTGGAATTCAATTCAGTACCAAAATGTAATGACTTCCAGAAATGAAAAGTAAATGATCGAATTCAACACTTCTGTTCTCTTGATGGTATCAGTGCTTGCCCTTTTTTGCAGTCTGGCTTAGAAGCTTATTATTTTACCTGAGCCAGTGGTCTCAGAGTAGGGAAGTACACACTGCAGAATGCACAAGACAGTTTATTTTGCAATGTGGCAAGAAAATGTTAGCATTTTTTATTTGTATTGCTGCTTATGCCATTGTTTAATTTCTGTTTTTGTGTATAAGGTACATACGTGCATGTTCACGCATATACTATACACAAAACATGTCACTACACACATGTACACTCACATGTATACATAGATACACACAAATAAAATGAGGTTCCACGCTCCCTCCTTTCCTCTGTCCACTTTTCTGGGCACATATGATCAGGAAAAGTTTGGTATCACCGATTTCAGCCATCAGTGCAAAAATGCTTTCAAAGGAATCTTAAAGTATTTTAAAATTATGAGTTTTAAAAAGAATACATCTTAGGCAACACCAGTTTAAAAGAAACACTTAAATGACATAAACATAGTAGTTTGTAAGGTTGTAATTTGTGTTTAATAATACTGATACTTATGAGTTCTTTAGATTTTTTTATACCAAAGTAGCTTTCAAAGGACAACTTGTATCATGTTTTCTTAGTGAAGTGGTCATGAATTCCATAAATATCCTTGCTGTACCTTGCCTCCTATTGACATTTTCCTCCCAAATGGGTTAAAATCAATATTACAAATGTACTTGTAAAGTAGACGTGTTGCCCACACCTTCCCTGGTGCTGATACTTGACACAACACTGACATCTAGAGTCAGTTGTGGCTTATTTGTTCTGAAATTTCCTCTGTTCAACCTTCAGCTTTGGACTTTCTGTATTTTGGCTTTTATGTTCTTATTCTAGTCACTATTCTGTTCTCATTTTGCTAGTAGCATGATGTAAGTTACTTTGCATACCCTGGCAGGCAAGCTACCCCATTGCCCCATGACAGCATCAGAAGAAATAACTTTCACTAAGGTGCTTTTCAAAATGAACGTCTCTAACTCGAATTTTGTCACTTTGCTCCCTCTCAACTTATTTTAATTGTCCCATGATTTCCACAAACCATAAAGATGATTCTTCCACTCAAGACGGAGGCATATGGTTTAGCTTCAGATCTTCAGGATGGCAGTCATCACACATCTCATGTTGAATGAAACAAACTCCGGATACGTGTTTAAAATAGAATTTTTTTCTTGGCAAATTTGGAAGGTATTTTTCAGTTGCATTTTGTTGGGTTTTAGTATTTTGTTAACGACTGTTAGTTGTAGTTTCCTCACATTTCGGCATCCTTCTTTGTAGCCAGTTGTCTTTTCTGTTTACCTGATGGTGTATGTTCATTAACACTGCCATAGCTCCTGCAGTTGGATTTTTCAGTGAGTTAAATGAAAACTAAAACATTTCTATGGTCTTTCATAGTTGGAAAGTGCTCTTCTGTTTTCATAAGTGTTGTTATCTTTCTCCTGCAATAATAAATAGAAAGCCATGTTTAAAGTTTTGTAACCAATGAAGCCACCCACCAAGCAACATGCAAACCACCAGGCCATCTTGGATTCTGGGTCCTAAGTGCCCATTCAGTAATCTTAAAGGTCAGGTTGCCATTTTCCCCATCCGCTTTTAGAGTAGGATGAGGGAACTGAAAAATATTTTTCTTGTTTGGATGCTATTGTCAAAATCCTGGTTGGGAACTTTACAGTTCTCACTTCTGGACTGCCTTTAGGCCGCATACCTTGGCCTTGTTGTTGAAACATGTCCCAGCCTCAGAAAGAAAAATAATTTATAATTACTCAGTGTGGCATCTTAGTAATTAGACTGTTTATCATTTTTATGTATCCATATATACACTGGAAGATGAAACGACTGCTTCGACAATATTCTTTCCTTGGCAAAAATCCTTTGTAAAAGTTAGATTTTTAGTGCTTGCTTTGGCAGCACATACCCTAAAATTGAAACAGTATAGAGAAAGTTATCATGGCCCTTGTGCAGGATGATGCACAAATTCGTGAAGCATTCCATGTTAAAAAAAAAAAAAAAATTAAAAAGTGAAAATTGAACAACAACAAAAAAAACTACCCTATTCAGTCTCCTGTTGCATTTGTCCTCTTGGCTGCTCTTTAAGAGGAAAATATGTTTACTAGTGTATCAGTTCAGCTTATTTTGTGCTCACTTTGGCAGCACATATACTGAAATTGGACTGATACAGAGAAGATTAGCATGGCCCTGCACAAAGATGACATGGAAATGTGTGAAGCGTTGCATAAATTTTAAAAAATAGAAATAAATTAACCTTATTTTGTATACATTTTAGCTTATTTGAGCTATCTCATCTTGCATCGTGGAATCAAAGTATCTGTTCTGCTGAAGCTAAGACAACATCATGTTCGAAGAACCTGTTTATATAAGACTTAAAAAAAATACTGTCAGATGTATTATAGATATGGATGTATTCGTCTTTTCAGTTCAACTCCAGACACTGGGAAAATACTCATTTTTAAATATTAGCTGCCTCATTTCTAATGTGAATTTATTTTTGCCTTATACGTAACAAGTAATTGTTTTCATAATTTGACCCACAAATGTTTGCAATTATCTACTTAATGCCTACCACTGCATGCAGGATACTGTATGGAGTAGCTTTTAATCCATCTTAAAGGATCCTTTTGTGTATTGAAAACGTTGCTTGTGTCCAGTATGTTTCCGAAAGTTTCCATGGCAGTCATCTGCCAGCCTGGGGCTATGTAATATTGTATCAGATGCCTTTTGTTATGTATTTATTAAAACAGGTTCTATATAAAAATGCATTTCATGTGAAAGTTCCCTTTCAGAGTCTTCTGAAAGAAAATATGGTTATTGACAGTTTAGTTTAAACTGTCCTTGGCAGTTTAGTTTTTTCAAACATGCTATTTGTATTACTTTGTGTGTGTGTGTGTGTGTGTGTGTGGACATTTTACACTTACAGGTTGCTGGTTTGTTTCCACATGTCTCTTATGGTATAGTTCTTGAGCAATTTCCTGAAAAATACGCCGAACACTCTTCTTCTATAAAGACAATGAGAAAAAAAAATCTTTCCTTTGAGAATACAAGTGATGGTAACTGCACGTCATCATAACTTTTCTTGCTTTATTGCCATCAGTCTTAAAAACTATGCCCTCCCAAAGCATGTACGCCTACCGTTAACTCTTTTGTATTTGAGTACTTTAAATAGAATTTATGGTTGAGAACTGTCCAATTTAAGCCACAGTTTACCGCTTGAGATTATTTTGTCATTGAGTTTCTCAGCAATAGGAAACAGTATCTGTTGATTGAAAGTTACCTTGATATTCTGTTGAAACTTTAAATATTAAAAAACTTAAAATACTTCAACAAGTTTTCAAATAGTTACAACCAGCCACAGTGTAAAAAATATTTTGCAAGTGTTGGTCTGTACCTTTTGTAAGTCTTCTTTTGTTTCTTTGTTTCTTAGAGGATTGGATTTTGACTGCCAAGAAGAGAAGAAAAGTCTATGAAGCATTTTATGTCCTCATAACAATGGTGGCAGATAGCTCATGCCCTAATAAGATTAAACTGACTTAATACTTAAATGATAGTGAGTAAGAGTTAATTTTTACATCACTTCCAAGGTGCTTTTATTCCATTAAAAACTAATGGAACAAACTGATGTTGATTGTAGGATTTATAGAAATCCTAACATAATGTATACATCTCTTTTCTTATATGCATAGCCAAAAGGCATTCTTTCTCAATAACTTTAGGCCTTTTTTGAAGATTTTAAGGCTGCTTTTAGTCTCTTCATCAACCCATTTTTGTTATTAAAGACCATTTTGGCCAGGCGAGGTGGCTCACACCTGTAATCCTAGCACTTTGGGAGGCCGAGACAGGTGGATCATGAGGTCAGGAGTTTGAGACCAGTCTGGCCAATGTGGTGAAACCCCATCTCTACTAAAAATACAAAAAATTAGCTGGTGTGGTGTGTACGCCTGTAGTCCCAGCTGCTCAGGAGGCTAACGCAGGAGAATTCGCTTGACCCCAGGAGACAGAGGTTGCAGTCAGCCGAGATCGCGCCACTGCACTCCAGCCTGGGTGACAGAGCAAGACTCCATCTCAAAAAACCATTCTTAAGGCTTTCACAGATAACAGTAATATCTTCCAACCACCTCCTCTCCCCTCACCCCTACAGCAGAAAGATAGTCTAGCGGATGATTCTCTTCTTAATCCCATGTTACTAGGCTTTAAAGAGAAAACACTGTAAGTCGTGTCCTCTGTCTTATAATTTCAGTGATGAGAAGGTATGATGCTTTCTTCCACAGACCTCTTCTGCAGGTGATGTTCCTCCCTGCAGCTGCACAAGAAAATATTAGATGAGCTCTTGCTGAGGTCCATAACTTGTGGAGAGATAGAAATTGTTTTTCTTGATAATATTCAAGGTTATAGACACATTCCATGCAAGAAGATTTGACTTACTTTGGAGAGGAGTATGAAGGCCACGCATACACCAGTCACATAGAGAGAGAGCAGTGATATAAGAGCTGTCAGGACACTCCACAGTTCCTTGCTGATAAGCTTAATTTCTTAATTACAAAAACAGAAAGAAGCATAGTCTCTATTAAAGCCTATTCTTGCAAATACATGTATAAAGTATCATAGACACTGAATGTTATAGGTGAAATGTGAACTTACTCTGCTTGCCTATTCATATAAAAACTAGACCTCAAAAGGTACTCAAGTATGTGATTGTTAAAGCCAGTTCATCAATTCTTTAAATGTATTATGCCAAAAATGTTACTGGTTTTTAAAAATTAAAAAAAAAAATTCAACCACAACCATCTGTCATACTGGTAAGCATCACTTTTTAGATAAAGCCTCATTTGTGCTCGCTTCGGCAGCACATACACTAAAATTGGAAAGCGTCATTTGAAGTTAGATAAACATTTCCAGACAGTTTGTTCAAGGGCATCTAAAATCTCTTTTGGTAGAAATGGTTTTCCAGGATCATAAAGAGTCTGCCTATGTGGTTAAGATATTTTCACATATATTTGTTAAGGATAATATTTATAACCTTGGAACTAGTACACACAGCCAAAGAGTCTGTCTGTGAAAGGATCTGGGAAGGCCATACATTGATGAGCGCAGTGCTCACTGCGTGCTTAAAAGACAGGCACTTTTGCTACATATGTCCTTCCTGCTTTATGATAATATTCTGGAAATAGAGTTATTGAATCCATTTTCACATTCTGAATTTCTGCCTCCTGGCAGAAATTGTCTTGTAACATGCTGTGTCTTCAATTACCTGACTATTTGGAGTACAAAACACAATTAGATTTGTGCCTACTGGCTGAATAGCCTGTACTTTCCAACTAAATATCCCATAGATGAGGCTGGACATGGTGGCTCATGCCTGTAATCCCACCTATTTTGGGAGGCTGAGGCGGGCAGATTGCTTAAGGTCAGGAGTTCGAGACCAGCCTGGCTAACATGGTGAAACTCCGTTGTCTACTAAAAATACAAAGAATCACTTGAATCTGGGAGGTGGAGGTTGGTTGCAGTGAATTGAGATCATGCCACTGCAGTCCAGCCTGGGCAACAGAGCAAGACTGTCTTTAAAAAAAAAAAAAAATTCCATAGATGCTTATCCTGTGAATGCAGTTTTATGCAGCATGCGTTTTTATTTGTGAAACCAACAAATTAACCACATCTATACAACTTAAATTTAAAAACTCCAGTGCTAAATTAGGAGCTCTGTAGAAAAGACAGGAAATAGCCATGTCTGTCTTAACACTTTCACTTCTGCTCATAAAGAAGAATTTCTGTACATAAGCCTTGCTGTTTTTGAGACCTTCATCTTTTTACAAGCTATTTTTCCTTTTACTAATGTTTTTAGAAGGCTAATGCAGTGAGACATACAAATCTCTAAAGCGGTGTGTGTAATGTCAGTAGCTAACATTTGTTGTTTTCTATATGCCAGGAACTATTAAAATGCTTTATGTGCATTAACTTGTTTATAATTTAGCTGACAGGTGAGAATAAACTAAAGTTAAATGACATTTGAATATCAAAAGCCCATTAGAACCCTAGTAGTTTAAAAGCAGGGATTATAGTACTGGATGATCTCCCTTTCTCAGAGTCCTATTTTAGAATAGAAGGGCTGGTTGATTTTGAGTTCATGTTTTAATGATCTCAGTGCTCATCATACCAGGGTCCTTTCTAGGGGAAGAGACCCCAACAAGGCAAGGAGTTGCTGCTTTTCTCTCTCTCTCTCTCTCTGTCTTTTTTAGAATCATGTAAAGCTTTTTCTCTGAAATTCCTTTTTTTTTCTCTGAAATTTCTTAATCTCAGTCTTCTTAAGGGAATGACGTGGTGAAATTACTGCTAGAATTTACCTGTGTTTGATGTCCTTGCTCAGGTGAGGAAGTGTCATGGGTTTTACCAAATCTTAGAAAGTGATGTCCAGGCAGAATGGGAAAGCTCAGAGATCCCTGAGTAGCTTCTCTCCAAATCTGTGCTTATTCTCCATGTTGCATATTTTCTGTGGGTCCAATTTATTGATCACTTATGCATCTCTAGCACTTTGTTGTAGATGGTGCATTACCAGACCAGTTCCTGAGAAAGCTGATAGTTACTCACCACGAGCTTCCCTTTGGACATGGTACTTTACACTAAATCACTGTAATATACAAAAGGGATGAGCATGGCTCATGTGAAGGTTAGCCTTCACTGTGGAGAGAGTAGAGCACCCAGCATATCACTGACTGTGTTAGTGGATGTTTGAAATGAGTTGGAGTAGTTCTTTTATTTTGTTTTATTTTTCTGAGATGGAGACTTGCTCTGTCGCCCCGGCTGGACTGCAGTGGCACGATCTCGGCTCACTGCACCCTTCGCCTCCTGGGTTACAAGGGATTTTCCTGCCTCGGCCTCCCAAGTAGCTGGGACTTCAGGTGCATGCCACCATGCTTGGCTAATTTTTGTATTTTGAGGAGAGATGGATTTCATCATGTTGGCCAGGCTGGTCTTGAACTCCTGACCTCAAGTAATTGGCTCGCCTTGATCTCCCAAAGTGCTGGGATTACAGGTGTGAGCCACTGTGTCCAACCAGTTGGGATTAGTTCTTTAGTCCAAACCTCATAGTGACTTGTGCTCAGATCACACCCTTTACTGGCTGAGGTATCCACTTAGCAAATTTATCTCCTGATTTCTGCATGTGAGTGAGGTAATGATTTTACAGGTCTGAATAAGAGGCAATGATGCACTGAAATAAAGCCTCACTGACTGACCTCTTACCACCAGTGTGGTTCCTCCTCCGGTCTGCTTAGCTCTTGCTTCCAGCGCGCTGGGGAATGCTATTCCACAGATATAAATTGCACTGTCATTTGAAGTCAGTCTGTTTACAGTGAGAGAAACTTGGTTTTCTGTGGGTGCTTCCCTCACTGTGAACTTGTCTGCCTCGCTTTTGCACCCATCCAGGCACAGGTTCTCAGGCTGGTGAGCGCCATAGCGAAACCACAGGTGTGTCGGTCTCTCGGAAGGGCATCCGGTTATGGAGAAGGTACACTTTATGGTGACAGCCTCGTGAGTGTAGTCCACTTCTAGGTACTGTGGCTGTGTGACAGAGACAGTACAGGCACCCACAACACCTGTGGGAGGAAGCAGATGAGTGGTTTAATGGGCTTCTCACCTCACTTTGCCTGTGCTTTTATTTTACTTAAACTTTTGGGGTAGGAAACCCAGTCATTCTGTTCTTTTTCTTAATCCCAATGTAAGTAAGACTAAAAATAGACACCAGTGGTCCTCACTTGTCCCAACTGCTCCTGTTTTCTGACCTTGACCTGCTGGGTCACATTATGTCTGTTCACTGCCCTAGAGAGGCTACAGGGGAACAGAGTCCTGCACAGAGGTGACACCATATTGGAATCAGAAGTTTGGGGTGTCTGTGACTCTCCTTACAAGCTTTCCTTCTATCCAACCACTTAATCTCCCAGCCTCCTCCCTAATCCGCACCCTGGCCTTCCTGGAGTGCTGTGTTCAGTGCGGTAACCTGTGTCAAAGCTCCCCAGACAAACGCTGCTGCCGCTGCTGATGGAGCCCATGAGCAGCAGCGATGTTTGTGCTTTGTGGGAGTTGGGATTGCCAGGAATTCATGGCTGTTCACAATTGTACCTTTGTGAGCCTAGTGTCCCTTTGGGAAACATGATAAAAGGCAAGATGTACACCTGTGGAAATGCAGCCCTGGCTTAGCCTGCCATGTCTTTGATTACTGAGCAGGGACCAAATGAGCTCGCCAGGCCATGGCTAAGCAGATTTGTTTTCTTCCTGGCACGTGTGCGCTGCTTTGTAGGCCCTTGTAGCATTTATCTTATTTAATTAACAATATTGTAAAGAGCGCAGACTTGAGTTCAGATCCTAGCTCTGCCTGTTCCCAGCATTATAATCTCAGCATCTCAGTTTCCTCATTAGCAAATGGGGATAGTATTATTGACCTCATGCGGTTAGTGTGATGTTCAAGACGATGCCTAGGGAGTATTTACCTGCCTAGGCTATAGTAAGTATTTAATAGAAGGCAGTGATTGCTGCTGTAGCTGTCACTGCAACTGTTCCCACAGTGTCAGGTGGCCGTTTGAGAGATGGTTGTGGACATCTGTCCGTGAGGTGTGTTCACAGAGCTGGAACTAGTCACCCAGTCCAGTGCACTTTCCAACATGCGGTGGTCTTCCAAATTATAAGGATTGAGTCCCCCACCTTGGCCTTCATATCCCAGGCATGTGAAGATGGAAAGCCACTCAGGTGCACAAATGGAAAGACCCACCCTAAACCCTTCTTGAGGCAGGGGAGGCCATAGGTAAAACAGTATTGGTTGAGACAAATTGGAATTTGTCAAGGTTTTGGTCTGACTTCAGCCTGGTCGTATGTTCCCCAATGTTTCTATTTGTGTTAATTTGTCCTTTGCTACCGTAAATGAAATTGAAAAGTCATTCCAAGTGGCCTAATGCTTAACGTTAAGACAGGGGCTTTTTTCTCTTAGTATTTTATGGGTCCCCATTCATAACAGCAGAGGAATTAAAATTAGAATCATGGCATTGTGACGCGAGTCTCTTCTCACCAGGTTTTTTTTTTTGTGTTTGTTTTTGTTACTGTTTTTAAATAGAGTCTTTGTCTCCCAGGCTGGAGTGCAGTGGCGCAATCATGGCTCACTGCAACCTTGACCTCCTGGGTTCAAGCCATCCTCCTGCCTTAGCCTCTCAAAAGTAGCGAGGACTACAGGCATGTACCACTGTGCCCAGCTAATTTTTGTATTTTTGGTAGCAATGGGGTCTCGCCATGTTTCCCAGGCTAGTCTCGAACTCCTGAACTCAAGCAATCTGCTTGCCTTGGCCTTCCAAAGTGCTGGGATTACAGGTGTGAGCCATTGCATCTGGCCCTCTTCTCACTATGTTATATTTTGGTATTTATGCCATGTGAGATGAGCTGGGAGCTCTGTAGTGACCTGATAAATGCAAACCAAACAAGAAGGTACTATCACCTGGAGGAGGCCTGCAGGCTTCTCAGAGCTTCAGGTTTGCGGGACACCTAGCTCAGCTCCGTCTCCAGCTGAGGGGACTGGATCCTCTCTCAAGTCTTAGAAATACAACCTCATGTCTCCTGCCCAGACTTCAAGCACCTTACAAGTACAGTGAAACATTTTATAGTATTTACTGACTAGAAATGTAAAATGGAATTAGGTCTGCCAAAACTTAGCAAGGTTAAGCAGTGTCTCAATCTCAAGTCATCTTTCAGATAATTATTTTTAAACTGGATGATTCCATTATTTACACATTATTTTTATTTTTGAGATAGGGTCCCACCATGTCATCCAAACTGGAATGCAGTGGTGTGATCTCAGCTCACTGCAGCCTTTGCCTTCTGGGCTCAAGCCCTCTCACTGCAGCCTCTGGAGTAGCTGAGACTACAGGCATGCACCACCACGCCTAGCTAATTTTTTTTTATGTTTAGTAGAAACGGTTTTGCCATGTTGGCCAGGCTGGTCTCAAACTCATGAGCTCTAATAGTCTATCCACCTCAGCATTCCAAGTCAGATAGTGTTTTTAAAAGGGATCTAAGGAGCCAGGCGTGGTGGTGTGCCCATTAGTCCCAGCTATTCAGGAGGCTGAGGCGGGAGGCTGATTGAGCCCAGGAATTCCAGGCTGCAATGAGCTCTGATGCCACCACTGCACTCTAGCCTAGGCAGCATTGTGGGGCCCTGTCTCTATCAAAGGAATAGAGGCTGGGCGTGGTGGCTCACGCCTGTAATCCCAGTACTTTGGGAGGCTGAGGTGGGGAGATCACCAGGAGTTCAAGACTAGCCTGGCCAACATGGTGAAACCCATCTCTACTAAAAATACAAAAAATTAGCCAGGCGTGGTGGCAGATGCCTGTAATCCCTAGCTACTTGAGAGGCTGAGGGAGGAGAATTGCTTGAACCCAGGAGGTAGAAGTTGCAGTGAGCCGAGATTGTGCCATGGCACTCCAGCCTGGGTGACAGAGTAAGACTCTTGTTTAAAAAAAAAAGGTTGGGGGGAGCTGGCTTTTAACACTTTTCTTTAAAAACTAGTAGTATAGGATAAAAACAGGTATTTGTAACTTTGGAATTTCATATCTGCTTATTTCTACCTTCTTCGCAATTAGCCTGAGTGCAGGAGGAAACCAACTGCAGTGGTTTCCTATGTGAGCAGGGACTTGTGACAAAACTGCAGTTCCCTCCCCCCACCACTTAGGCAACATATTAACAAAAAAGAGAAGTTTGGGTATGTCACACCACAGCCTGCTCCTGTGAAAATTTTCTTTTAAGAATCCTCATAGTCTAGGATTTGTTTTTTAAACAGAGTATCCAAGGAAAAGGTTGAAGATTTATTTCCTCGGTGGAGGGAATAAAAAGATTATTTTTATTATTTAAAAAAGATGGCCAGGCAAGGTGCCTCATGCCTGTAATCCCAGCACGTTGGGAGGCTGAGGTGGGTGGATCACGAGGTCAGGAGTTCAAGACTAGCCTGACCAACATGGTGAAACCCTGTCTCTACTAAAAATATAAAAATTAGCTGGGTGTGGTGGCATGGACCTATTATCCCAGCTACTCAGGAGGCTGAGGCAGGAGATTCACTTGAACCCAGGAGGTGGAGGTTGCAGTGAGCTGAGATCATGCCACTGCACTCCAGCCTGAGCGACAAAGCAAGACTCCGTCTCAAAAACAAAGACAACAACAATAAAAAAACCATATTGAAAGTAAGTAGAAAACTAATTCTTGACATTTAAACAAAGCTGTCTATCTAGTAAGTAAGTAAGTGTGTTGCTCTGTTGCCTAGGCTAGAGTGCAGTAGCACGATCACAGCTCCCCTGCAACCTCAAACTTCCTGGGCTCAGGTGGTCCTCCTGCCTCAGCCTCCCAAGTAGATGGGACTTCAGGTGCATGCCATTACCCCCAACTAATTTTATTATTGTGTAGAAATGGGGGTCTCATTATGTTGTTAATGCTGGTCTTGAACTCCTGGGCTCAAGCTCTCCTCCTACTCTGGCCCCAAAAGTGCTGGGATTACAGACATGAACCACTATGCCCAGCCCAGAGCTTTTTAAAAAATTATTATTATATTAGGTTTCAAATTTCTAACCTATTGAAGTAGCAGATAGTACAGTCATCCCCTGCCATCACATGGCTTCCACTCAATCTTGTTTTTTTCTCCTCTCACCTACTCCCTCATGCTTATATTATTTTAGAGCAAATCCCAGTCATTATATCTGCAAATATCTTTCAGAATCTATCTCTAAAAGAGAATTCCTATTCTTTAAAATAATGCTAATTAAAACAGTCTATGAAAGTAATATATACTTATTAGGAAATAAAACAGATTATTAAAAGTAGAAGCAAAAAGTCACCCATAGTCCTTTTGCCTGAATAACCCCCATTAACATTTTGATGTATTTCTTTACAGATGAGAAAAAATTAATTTTAAGAACTTCGCCCCCTTCCCTGCCCTATAATCCAAATTGTGTGGGGAAAACTGAGATTATTAGATGTAATGAAAATACTTTCTCTTTCATAGATAAAAAACAGGGGTAGGCAGAATTTTAAAAATATATTATGGAATGGCTATTCTCTATAGAAGGAGTCATGGCAGTTTTTTTTTTTCTTAAATGAAAAGTACTTTTATAGAAATTGTTCTTTGAAACTATTCAGCAAATATTGTTTAATGCTTTCTATGTGCACATCAAGTTTGTCTGAAAATTAAATTGTTGATGACTTGTACATATTATTTTAATAATATTTTCAACTCTTTGTTTAGTCAGATCGTCTCCAAAGCAGCATAATAGCAAAGAGACTTTTCAAGGTTAATATGAAACTTTTTCTCAGCTGTTTTTTTTAATTATCTATTTCTTAGGGGAAAAAGGAAACCTATCCCCTTAAGGCAATTTCCATAACGTTATACATTTAAAAATTAATCTGAAGGAGCTTAAAATATAAAAGCATTAGGTGAAAAATAGCAAGTGATTTAAATAAAATGAAGGCGGAGAAGAAAACGAACCTTACCGACATAAAATAGAATGAGATTGGTTTGCAGATGGCGAGCGATGTTGCTTCTGCTCACAGTCCCCATTTCTGTGTGTGCTGGGGCGGGGCGGGGTGTGTATTCAAAAGGAAAGTTGGCTTTCTTTTTTTCAGAAGGGAAGATTTGAAGAGAGGAACCTCTTATGAAGTAACCATAATCAGGAACTTTTTGAAATTGTGTAAGGATGGTTTGTAACTCAGCTTCACCATTTGACGTTGAGATTTTGACCTGGAGCACATTTAGAAATGTGTGTATCATTTTTTTCCATGGATTTTACAGTCCTCATAGGTGTTAGATGTTCCTGGATTTTGATTCACACGTAGCACATATTCCCAGGAAGAAGGAATGTTATTGGACAGACAATTCGTACTTGGATTTTTTCAGAACAGTTCAGTCACTGTCCAGGCTACCTGCTGTGGGTCCCACTCTGGGCCAGTAACTGCTGGGAACAAAGAAACAGCAGAAGGAGAAGTGGCTTCAGGTAGAGACAAGAGAAAAGTTAGTAAACAACACATTCTAGTGCAGTGAAGAAATAAATTGTCTTTTATTAACTAGTTGTATTCCAGTTTTGAATCCAAAACCACTTCCTCCCCCCCACCCCTTTTTTGAGACAGGGTCTCTTTCACCAAGGCTGGAGTGCAGTGGCAAGATTGTGGCTCTTTGCAGCCTCAGCCTCCTGAGTAGCTGGGACTACAGGCATGCACCACCATGCCCAGCTAATTTATTTTTCTGTAGATTGTATGTTGTCTAGGCTAGTCCTGGCCTCAAGCAGCCCTCCTGCCTTGGCCTCCCAAAGTGTTAGGATTACAGGTGTGAACCACCCTGCCTGGCCCAGAGACCTCCTTTTATTTTTATTTTTATTTTTTTGAGATGGAGTTTTGCTCTTGTTACCCAGGCTGGAGTGCAATGGCACGGTCTTGGCTCACCACAACCTCCGCCTCCTGGGTTCAGGCAATTCTCCTGCCTCAGCCTCCTGAGTAGCTGGGATTACAGGCACGCGTCACCATGCCCAGCTAATTTTTTGTATTTTTAGTAGAGACGGGGTTTCACCATGTTGACCAGGATGGTCTCGATCTCTTGACCTCGTGATCCACCCGCCTCGGCCTCCCAAAGTGCTGGGATTACAGACGTGAGCCACCGCGCCCTGCCGAGACCTCCTTTTAATGTGTTGAGAAACAAGTATGTGGGCCCTCTGTCCTCCGTGCCTCTCCCCCGATGCTTAGCAGTGATTGAGTAAGGAAGGTTCTTCTTTGAAAGCAGCAGAAGCAGACTCAGGCTGACTTAAGCAAAAGGAAATTTATTGCAGGCATTTAGGGGTAGCTCCTAGAGTCACTGGGAGGGCTAGTGAACCTTGTGTGGGATCTACAGCCAGTAAGAATTCCCCAGATCACAATTAACGGGTCTGAAGAGCATGCTGCTGCCACTGCCAAGCACTGGGTGCCGTTAGCCCTGTCATCAGCATCCCTCAACCATTGCCCTGGCCCCTTGGTCTCACTGCCATTGCTCCACTCCCAGAGATGGAGAAGCTCATGTCCCCACTGCTCTGGGTCACTGGCTTTTCATTTCGGGGCTCTGGCAAAGGTGCCTGGCTCAGGCTGTGTGCCGGTGCCTCAGCTGCCTGGCAGGCCAAGAAAGCCAGCTCCAGGCCTTGCCTCTCTCCCAGACTCTGGGCAGGCAATTCCCCAGACATGGGAAGAGTGTCATCTGCGCCACTGAAAATTATGGAAAAATCTCTCCACCATGGTGTCTGTGCCTTTGGCATCTGCTCATGATATATTTTCTCATTAACAGAAAGTTATTCTCAGTCTGGTTTTAACACTTCAAAGGATATATGTAGTTTTTTTTTTTTTTTTTTTTAATCATCATAGCACCTAAAAAAGCACCCCCAAAGTTAAATATGCTGTCATCTTTGTGTGTTGTCTGTAGTCAGTGCCAGATTTGTATGTGAATTAGAGGACCTTACCTAATCTCCTTGTCCCCCAGGCATCTCCTGCTCATAGGTTTGGAAATGACTGAAAGAGACTTCATCTCTAGTCCAAGAAATGCCAGAGGGTGCATCCATCCTGGTGTTCCACCTCTCTGGTCCTCGAGCTTAATGTTTATAAACTTGTTCTGAAAAGGCAGGGAATGAGTCAGCTTCCCTTGAAAAACTCTCCGATGATCTGTTTGTATAAATTAAAATCCTTCATGAGCCTATTTTTATTTTCAGCCTAATAAATCTCTCTAGGTAATAAGTTGCATAAGTTTACTACAGCCAGTGGTATTTTCTTGGATTTGTCCAAAACACTCTTTCAAATATTACATGTTGCTCTCTGTTTCAATATTCCAGCATTTAATGACCAGTTTTCCAAACCCATTAACCATTACATCCCCAGTCAGTCTATTGGCAGATACTACCCAGCACCGTCAGAGAAGGTAACAGTGTGGGCTTTGGATCCAGACAAACTGGGCTTACATTTCCATACTGACACTCATTAACCTTGCAAGTGTGGGGAAGGTCTCAGCCCTTCGGAGTCTGTTATTTATCTCTGTGTCCATCTGTCTCAAGGAGTACCTGGGAAGTGTAAAAGGTAACTTATAAAACCCTCAGGCCTGGAACATACCGAGGCATTGACAGATACGGCTCCTCCCCACTTCCCTTTTTAAAATCACTTGTTTGTTCAAGAATTTAACTGAATGTTTTTATTTGTATTAGTAGGTGGCAAGTGGGAGAAACCATCAGAAATTTTGGAAATCAAGGGACAGAACTGGGAAGAACAAGTGAATAGTCTGCCTGAAGTTTTCAGAAAAGCCGGTTTTGTTATTGAAGCTTTCACCAGACTGCCATACCTGTGTGAAGGTGACATGTATAATGACTACTACGTTCTGGATGACGCTGTCTTTGTTCTCAAACCAGTATAAACACGGGGAGGTCAAAGTCTTCAGAGTCCGCACCCTCCGGGATGTGCCCTCGGAAGAGGGTCTGCATTCACAATTATGTGAAGGGAGGACCCTTGGGGACCGCCATTCTAAATATCATGTAGGAATTTTAAAAGCCAAAATACTAATTATTTCTTTGTAGTGTGTAAAGGAATGTTTTTAAAAGAGAAAACCCCAACTCTTTGTGAATTTTTATCAACTCTTTACTCAGTTAGAGCCACTCTCTAATGCAGGTCACACTCCAATTATGATGGAAGATATTTTTTATACTTAATTGCCGTAGGGACTCATTCCCAGACAAAGCAATAGTCACGACTTCATGGAGCCAATCAATGGATTGTTTTTAATAATATGAAGACTGGCAATAAAGCTGTCCATTCAGTTCCAAATACTGGTTTTAAGGTTTAGCCACTGATATTCTTTCATGCTTAGAAATTCGTTGTTATTATTCAAGAAAATGTTTTTAATCATGCTAATAAACTTTTTTGGAGATGACTTTGGCATCATGTTTGAATTAATATAAGGCTCCCCTAGCATTTTTTATTGCTTTGGCTTCAGGAGTACCCAAATAGTAGCATTATGTGAATGACGCAGACAATTTGAATATGGGAGAAAGAAGGCTTCAGACTCGGGGGAAGGGGAGATGATTGCAAATTGCATTGAACGCTGAAGCATTAAAAAAAAAAAAAAGACAACCCCACAACCCCAGCCTCATTCAGATACAGTACTTCAGGTACCACCCCCACACCCCAGTTAATGCTGCTGTGAGAAATGCAAAATAACCTGGTTCTGACTTTGTGATTGTTCATGTCCCACACACTGAACTAACTTTTTCTGGACAATCTCAGGTTCTCAGAATTGAAACATTCAGTTTTGTCTACAGACAATGCAACTAAAAATGTTTTAATTCAGCTTCTTACTCTACACTTGTATACCTCTCTCCCAGAGCTTGGCTCTTCCCTGAAATCCTTAACGGAGTTTATTATTTGCCGGGAATACGGTTTGATGAAGACCATGTCAAACTCATGCATTCTGGAATCTGTGAGTGCCTCCAACCATAAACCCAGAAACGTTGCAATAGAGAAAACCATTAGCAAGATCAGTAACCATCGTGGATATTCCAAAGAGCAGAGCTCTTAACCCAGAATTTGAAATCTCAGTAATAACAGAAATGCCGATGTGAGATTGTGGTTATTAGCAATATGTTATTCTCACAACTTTATTTCTTTTTTCATCCAGGTGTTTCATTAAGCATTCTCATTTATATGCTCATAGAAGTCATCAAATCAACACATTCACTGCAACACGTGGGTATAAAGGTGAATTAAAACCTGGAGAATTGCTTGGATTATTCATTAAGAACTGCATTCCCACATCCTCACACCAATATCTTCCACTGTTACTGTGCAGTCATAATAAGAGTTGGGTTAAGTGATTTATGCAAAATTGTTATTGGTGTGTTCTAATGATTTTTCCAGAAATTCAAATAAGTGAAGTACAAATACTTAGCACCATAGATTGTAAAAATAGAGAAAATGAGAAAACAATGTCATTTTTGTACAGTTGAGTTTTGCTTCTTTATAAACTGCTATCATAATCAGGGGTTGCTGTTTGACTGTCAAGCCGAAGTGATGGGTGTTCAAAGAGGCAGGTTACCCCAAAGTGGTTTATAACTTTCAAGTTGAGAATTAATTTTATGGTCTAATAAAAATACAACTCATTCTTAATGCCCCACCAAAAACAAAGCACATACATGTGCATTTTAAAGATAAAAGCAGTTTCTGAAAAAAAATCTGAGGTTCTCCGAAAACCAGCTTATTAAAAGTGCTGTTTTATGGTGAAAATTGAAACCAAATGCACTCACGTTTCCTATCTGGTCTTGAAAGTCTTGGTGGTGTGTCACCATTCCACTAGATGGCAGTGTTGCTTACTGAGTGTCAATGGCTTTTTTTCCCCACTAAATGGAATCATGTTTTTCTCCCCTAAAGTACAATAAAGCTGCCTTCTTGTCTGCACCATTCCTCGTGTAAGTGCTTCATATCAAGTTAAGACTGTACTAGAGAAATTGAGAAGAGCTTTGTGGTCAAAGGAAGCTAACCAGTTGATCTTAAAGGTTGAAATGCAAGCTGCACCTGTGATTCCTAGCTCCTTGCACCTGCATTATAAGCTCCTAAAGTGCTCAGACCACTGATCTCAGAGAAGGCGAGGAAACGAGGTACAAGGCCCTTAGTCATTTATCCCTTGCACAGAGTAGTTAAAAGCAATACTGTATTTTCTGCCATTCAGTGTGACCTGTTATCAAGCGATTCTCCTGCCTCAGCCTACTGAGTGGCTGGGATTATAGGCATGCACCACCACGCCTGGCTAATTTTGTATTTTTAGTAGAGATGTGGTTTCTCCATGTTGGTCAGGCTGGTCTCGAACTCCCGACCTCAGGTGATCTGCCCACCTCAGCCTTCCAAAGTGCTGAGATTACAGGCGTGAGCCACCTCGCCCAGCCTTTGACTGACTTCTTTCACTTAGCACAATGCCCTCAAGGATCACTGATGTCATAGAGGGTGTCAGAATTTCCTTCCTTTTTTTTTTGGAGACGGAGTCTTACTCTGTCCCCCAAGCTG